TATGGATGGCATTGAAAAACGTAAAACATTAAACTTATTAACAGTTTGTTTTTATATCACATTTTAAATGTAGTTTATAAAGGGCAGGGAATTTTTGCTTTTATTTGTCTGTTAACAAAAGAACTCAAGAACCAGTAGCCAGAGTTTAATGAAACTCTCAGAAAATAAACAGTGGATGTTCATTTACAGCAACTACAGTTTATTTTAGGATGGCTGCAACAGTTTATCAACTTGGCCAAACTCTTTTTATTCTGTGGATATCAAGCTAAAATATGGTGTGTCAGTAGCTGAAAGTATTTTTTTTATCACACACTCTGACCACTAACATATTGCACAAAACGTTTGGTATAAAACTTTGACATGCAAGGAGGCAGGTGAAAAGCATTCCCCCAAGAATACCATGATCATTTTTGCTCTACGTTAATAAATTTTAATCGCTTATACTTAACTTACTTAACAAAAAGGTAAGGAACAGGAAAATGACTTTATGGTTGATTCAGCTAGCAGGCAAGAACTGCAGAATTTAACACATTATTTATTMTTTTTAAATAAATTAATAAACGTTTGCACAAGAAGAACAAATGCAATTTTCTTTATTTACAGCCTGACACATACATTTGATCATATTGTCACCAGCTAATTATGTTGCACAGTTATAGATGCAGATAAATTTGTTTGTATCCTCCTGTTAGAGAAAAAAAAWWMMAAAAAAAAAGCGGTTAAGTAAAATCTCAAGACCATCAAGGCAAGTCGTTAAAAATGTTATTTTCAGTCACAGGTTGTCAATCTTCCAACAGAATAATGACTAAATACACACTACCCTTATTATTTAATATATTTTCTTTTTTTTTATCAAGGCCTCATTAGCTGATTTTCAGTATTTTTGTTTCTAATTCTTACTTTTTTAATTATTAAGTTATGTCGGTGACCTCTGTGGGGTTTCCTTTCTGTAAAGAAAGGGTACAAACAGATGTATCTGCATCTAAGACAATCAGAGAACAGGATCATTAGTACAGATCTCACCTTGTTATTCTCATCAGTGCTGTAAACACACAAATTAAAACACCAGTAAATAAAGCTCATTCTTTAACGCCTGTTTCTTAGACCCAGTTTAAATGCTGTGTTGCAGGAGAGACTGCAGACATTCTTGGCAACTGGAGGCAACAACAGCAGCAGACTTGACATTCCTGATGGGACCACACCTCGTTTTGTTGTTCAAGGGAAAGTCTAAAMCTTCACCCCACCGCCGTGAGCCCCTTCCTCCCACTTCATCCTACCTGTCATCTCTTTTCTCCACCCTCCACACCTCCCACCACAGCTCCACCCTTGTGTTCTGCATTTCCTGTAAACAGGTTGGTGGGAAGCTCCTGGGCTGGAAACTTCCTCCCTTGGGATGACCTGTTCGTGACCTCAGTGCGGCTGGCACCGGGCCTTGGCGAGCCAGCGACACGCCCTGTCCACTGCCTTGCTGCACAGCACACCGCCCAGTACAACAATGTACTTAAGATGGCTCCTTCATCGCCACTCACACTCACTCAGCAGCGGGTGGAGATGCTGTTTTRAAGGCCATGACGGAGCTTTTCCATTCCTCCGAAGAGGTTTAAATCAAACCTCGTAAAGCAAAAATTATGCCCAAGGATRAGACAACAGCATATTGTCTGCTTAAGAAAACAACGTTTTCATAGTGGACACTAAATGGCATCTAAGACGAGCAAAAATGCAAATTCTAAACTTTCTTTACCAAAACATTTTTTTCCTGCCTTCATTTGTTGCTGCATGGCTGCTCGGTGGAGATAGTTCTGCTGAGACAGCATCCTCAGCAGCAGTATCACCTTTGATAAAACAGCAGGGAACTATAACTTAGTCTGCCTGCACCTACTTGCATACATACACACACCTTGGTTGAAATGGAGATAAATCATTAAGCCTTTTGTTTGCCTATTGTACTCCATGGTCCATTGCTAATTAACATGTTTTTTTTCCCCACTTACTCTGAGTGTACGTGTTAACATCGTCTGTTGGTGCACATTAATCACATAACTAGAAACTAGGTAAACCTGCAGTTCATCAGTGTTCTCCTTAAAATGCATGTGTGTGGCTGCAAGCACTGAGCTTTTGTGTGTAGTTCTTTGAATTTGGTTATTTACCTTACTACAAAGAGAACTCGGCCCTCTGTGACTCTCCAACCCAGCTGTGTTGAATGTGTTCTTAATAAATCACTGTCACCCTCATCTTGGTGGCCTGGGACAGTAATAGTGTCAAGATTTGAAAAGAATTCAGCCCCATATGTACTCAGAAAAGCAGACAAYAACCGTGCAGAGACTATGCAGGAGGATGCTCACATGCATACGTTCTTCCAATAAAAACACACCAGAGACACCCTGGTAACTGTAGGTTCTCCAGTGGGAATGTGGTAAAGGCAGAGTGAAAGGACGGGTTGGTTCTTTGCATCTTTGTGATCTGAGTGGGATCTCAAGCACACAATGAGATGCAACAATAGCATCAGGAGACCATAAAGAGCCTGCACCAGGTCAGCATCGTGAGTGAAGGGGGAAGGTTCCCAACGTGAAAACATGCAAAGTTTACAGCCTCACCAAAAAGAGACTGAAGAGAAAAACATTGGAAAAAGTGGTTGTATTATTTTTTTCTAAAATATCAATAATTAAAAATATATATAAAATAAATAAACTACAGATTAGAAATATTCTGTCCAAACAAGTTGCAATAACACACTATAAAGAGAAGATAAAATAGTTTAAAAAAGAACATCTGTTTATTAATTACAAACTGAATGCATCACAAAAACCAAGGCAAAAATGATAATCAAAGCTAAGAATTAAAAGCCTTGAAGGAATGCCTATCACCTGCCCGCCACCTATAATGYCAGTTTTTAATGAAGTATATCTTGGAAAAAGAATAAACAAAGTTTTGATCCAACCTTAAAATAATGTTATGAGAGAGCTCATGAGATCTGTTAAACCTCAGAATATGTGCTGAGGATGATCATCAGCTACTACTATGTTTGCTAAGGTCAATAAGCTGTGGCAGCCGTCAAAAGGTAATCACTTGTACATCCTATGATTAACTGTGATTGCCAGTAATGAATTTTATTAAAAAATTTGTCGAATGGTTCGTGAGATAATTTGCTAACAGACAGAGTTGACTACTATAGTTTTCAAAACAGGTCCTGAGTGATCAGTCAACTCTCAGAGTATAAGATGAGGATGAGTTTTAGCCTCTAATACATCTAAGCTTAGCTCAATATTTTCAGAATTAACARAATAACAGCAATTTTTGTGTTTACTAAATTAGCTTTTTTTAAATCCACCAAGTGGTGCATGAGATATTTTACAATTAGACAGAAACATAAAAAAACCCAGACATGAACAAAAATATCTTGCCCTTGCACCTTCAGTGGTGGCTGGTTGTTAATCATTGCACTATCAACATGTGCAACAACAAACTCACAAAAGACCGTTTGGACTGTAATGAATTGCAGGCTATGAAATTATCATGCATGTCAGTAAAATATTTGGCCAATCTGATGGACTGTAATTGATCCCAAGATGCCCACATGTGATTCAGATGCTTAGGACTGAGATATTAAAGCACACAGATTGCTGAGAGTTTCATTATCACAATATGAAAAAATATATTTGTTTTTTTATATTACAAGCCGTGCACTGCAATTTTTAACAATGGAACTGCACATCAAGTTTTTTAATATTGTGCCTCTTTACAAAAAAAAAAAAAAAAAACAGATTATGCCCCAACTTTTTGAGTTTTTATGAAACATAGATTGTATTAATCAAACTGAAAGGAAGAGACTGCGTTCAGGAATGACTGAAGCTGAGGCAAAGGCTGGAATAATTTTGCACGGTCTCAACGCTGCAACTCCTCGCTTCATCACGCACTGCAGTAAATCCTGCAGACCCTCGAGAGTCCAGTGAAAGAGAAGCACTCAGGAGAGAGCTACTTTAATAAAAGCCCTCCTGAACATCTGTGTCAGGTATAGGAGAGCAATTACACCAGAACTGCTATTGCTTTCTTCTTCCTGTTCTTACAAAGCCACCGTTCTACTTTATCCTTATAAGTCTTGTTTTTTTTTCTATTGATCACCCTYCTTCTATTAACACTTCACCGCTGGTGTTCACACTTTTTCTTTTATGCTCCTCCACTTCGATGTGTGAAAGAAGCCCCTCACCCTTTTTGTCACTTTTAATTGCATCCATAATGACTTTTTCTAATGTGTACAAGCTGCAGTCAATGAGCTACCTCATTGCCTTTACCTGTTCTATTACCTCARACTTGCATGGGAAGCAGCAGCGCCAGATGTGACCTTTGAATCCAAGTAACACAAAACAGAACTAAGCTCTCCCGCAAGCATTGTCCATCTTCCCGAAGCCAGTGAAGCCTGACACAGCAGGCTGCTCATTTCTCACACACAACACTTTCCGATGAGAGGAACCCGATTGTACTCAGCCAGGTGATTTTTGCTCACCTGAGATGCAGTTAGAGAATATCTGCAGTTTTACAAAAGTCAAGATTGGAGTCATGAGTGGATAAGTGTGCACCTGGCAGCTCAGTTGACAAGTTCACAAGTGATTTTACAATTTCAAAGAAATGTATTCTCACCTCTTTTGGACAGTTTAATATCAGGTCTACACATAAGCTACAATATAACTCAAGACCAGCTCTGAAGTCTTMAGATATGTTTGCTCTGAAAATATGACCAGTTCCAGTAACATCCCTGTCTTCCCGAGCGAAATACAGATTTCTGTCCTGTGTAAGTGGTTTGACAAATACAGCATATTCAGCTCCTTGGTGAGCATATGAAATACAAAGTAAAATACGTGGTACTTAAATGGACACAATTCGAATTATCTAAGCTTTCCCAAAACAAAGTAGTTTAACATTTGTATATGAAGAGATGTGATTATGAATTAAGTAAAGTAATCTTCAGTGTCTCCTTGAAACATAATAAAATACATTGAACTTACCTTTCATTGTCTGTTTTTGATGACAGTGTCTGAAGTTTGCTGTCAATCCCAGGGAAACTGTTCATATCCACRTAGCCATCGTTCTCGTTACAGGTTACTGTTATGCGGGTTGGATTCTCAAAAAATTCTGTAACCGTGTGAGATCGAACCGGCCTTCCTGGAATCTGGATGTTCTCATAGTCGGAGCTCATGGCTGGGATGTTTTCATAGTCTGAAGTGTCTGCGCTGGGGAAGGAGATAGAGCGAGGTTTGGTCAGAGGCAGCGGCCTGACGGAGCGGCGAGAGCGCTCCTCGAAGGACTCCACTCTGGAGACACTCCTGCCATCAGCTTTAGGGTCCCCTTTCCTCCTGGGGCGATCTTTGTAGAGGACAAAGGCAGATGTTAGGTCTGCAGGATGCTGTTTGGGGTTCACAAGACGGGACTGAAGCTGAGAAGAGCTGCCGGTGCTTATACGATCGAGCTCTACAACTCTTGCACCATGATGGCTAGACTCAGAGGAAGATCGTGAAGAGCGAACACTTCCATCACTGAAACCCTTTGAATCCGTTTTCTTCTTGAACTTGAGTGCCAGGAAGCGCTTAAATGAGGACTTYTTCTTTTTAGGTATTTCAGTGGGGTCATGATGGATTAGAAGGGCTGGGGAACTTTTGGTGACTGGTCTCTTTGTGATATACGCTAGGTCAAAAGGTGGTGGTATGTCCACCATGGAAGTTGGTGTAGAAACACCACTCGATGACTGATGGCTTCGCTGCGAAAAGCTTCCAGAGGAAGTTATGACACATGGAAGGGAAAGAGTGTCGTCCTTCCTTTTTATCCTGATCTCATTTGTAAAAGATTGTCCATTCTCTGACAGTGTGGTCAAGGATTCTGGACTTTCTGCAGACCGAGAGTTCAGGATGAAACGACGGGACATCATAGATGGAGTCACACTGTTGACTCCTGGATGCTGTGATTGACTCATGGGTTCACCATTCTTATCTACTTCTACAGTGCAGTAGTCATGAGTTTGGTACTCTGTCCCCGTCTCCTCTGGTACAGTCTCTGGGACATAACCCGAAACCTTCCCAGAATAGGATCGTGATCGTGTGACAATGGTTTTACGATCAARAGTCACAAAGTTCTCCCCCTCCGAGTCAAAACCAACTTCCTCATATACATGCTCTTTGCTGTCCGAGTCTGTGTCTTCAAAATAAGGCACAATGTGGCAGTCCAGTTCTTCAATGTCTTCTTCAAATGCTTCAGTGGTGTGAGCGAACACCACTCTGTTGGTGAGCTCCGGGGTGCGGCCCAGGTCCAGATCTGTTGGCACTGTGATGGTGCACAACCTGAGGCGAGGCTGGCAGCTTCGTCTCTGGCTGCGAAAAGCCTGTTCTCGCTTTGCTGTCCTCTCTTTTGCGCTTTTCCCTTTGATATGTTTCTTTTCTATCTCCTCCTCCTCCTCTTCCTCRTCACCTATCTCAACATAATCTTCTGATGAGACATATTCAGACTGCTCCAAGTTATCTGCCTTTGAGCAGACGGTGTCGTCAATGTCTGCGTACTCATCTGCAGACTCACTGTCCTTCGGTTTGTCTTTTTGTTGCTCAGACTGTTCAACGTCCTCCTTATCATGGGGCTGGTCTGAGTCTACTTGCTTGTCTTCAAGTTTGTCCACATCATCCGATGAGACGTAATAAGGTTCATGTCCAGAGGCATCTTGGGTTTGAACTTCGTTTGCAGGTGAGCATTGATCATCATCATCTTCACCMGGGCTCCACTCAGGATCAGCGGTGCTGCTCATATCTCTTGGAAGAGCCTCAATGACAGAATAAGGCCCAAACACATCCTCGGTGCTGGCTGTGAATCGGAAACAACCAGAGGGGTCTTTGGTGGCTCGTTCCGGTTGCCAGACCTCAGTGTCCCCTGTTTCAGCTGTTCCACATGACTCACATGTGTCACTAGCATCATCTGTAGGGCCAATCACATCGTAGGGGTACTCCTCAGTAACAGTCGGAAGCACGGTGAATCCAAAAGAGAATCTGCCTGCTTCCAACTCTGTCTCATTTGTGAGCAAACTAAAATGGAAACAGTCTTCACTTTGCTCTGTGTTTGTTTCGTTAAGATCAGGATCATTCTCTCCTGGATAACTAAATGASAGCGTTCGATTGTGGTTTTGTTCCTCTACTTGTTCATCTGATTCGTCTGCAGGGCCACAACCGTCATTCTCCTCCTCCTGCTYTGCTTCATACTCTGTTTCACATGAAGACCGTGCTAACGTATTCTCATCATCAGTGTGGTTTCCGCCTTCAGGCTGGATCAAGTCATTTTCAGTGTCTTCATCCTCTGTAATGTCAACTGAACCGTCAGCTTTGATGGTGTCCTCCGAGCCTACACTGTCTGCATCACCATCGTTATCCAACGTTGCTGCTTCTTTTTCTGCTCCCACCACCGGTTCTCCCCCTGCTGTGTCCTCTTTGTCATTCCCTCCTGTGCCGTTGTCACTAACCCCACCCTGTTCTTCTTTTTTCTCCTCTTTGTTGTGATTCTCCTCAGCCATTTCAAGGWGATCACCTGTCTCCTCATCAGAGTGAGACAATTCCCCGTTACTCAGCCTGTGCTGATGGCAGGGCTCTTCCTGTGGGTCAGGCTGAGACAGAGGTCTGGGCTTGGGGGTGTCAAGAGGTTTTGGACCATGGACAGAGGGACCAGACTTTGACATCAGTTTTGACTGCACTCTGATGGTGAGATGACTCCGGACCGTTGGTCGGGGGACTTGCAGAGAATTTGGAAGATCTGTTTAAGGAGGGCAGAAGAAAATAAAGAAAGTTATTACCATAGACATTCTATTTTTACCACGTAAGATTACCCAAAGCTAAGATCATGACTCATGGTACTGATCGCTAAGAGACGCTTTGTCCAGAGGTCAGCAACAAGCAGGGGACATTATCAGCAGGAAAAACAATAGAGCCCCTGGGCACTTAGAGGAGAAACAACAACAACATCTCTCTCTCTCTGGGAGATGACACATGAAGATTGGGCTTTTTAAATACAATTATAGAAAAAAGCCACTAAATCAGGCTGATTATGATGAAAACTTTAAAAATTGTAATTTATGTCATCAATAAATATATTTATGTGTTTGATGCAACATAAGATATAAACCTCAGTATTAAGCCTGATTTTGTTTCAGTAAAAATATATRTATTTTGTTAGTATATAATGCTTATGACTTGTCGTAAAACACACCCACTCTTAGCAAAGTGTGTACACTCCGGTCTCTTCCTGTTATTTAGTACCTGCCTGACGCACATCCTATTAAACCCTGTGTGCCCTCTGGTTATCTCTTACTGGTTTCTTGTTCCCTCTTTCTSTCTGTGTTTCAGTTCTTTTCTCAATCTGTATACTTCTTCAGACATCAATTTAATGTCAACGTTATCACCTTAACCCCACCCATCACTTCCCTTGTCAACATTTACCCAGTTATTTTCAAAAGCAGTCACAAAAATTCTCACTTTCAGTCAATTTGGGTTCATGAATCAGTCCAGCTGAGCCTGTGAAGAAATTCACGGGATGGRGGGGACCTCTTCTCGTCACGAAACCATAAACCTCTCTAGGATTATTGCATTTTCAAAACACAAATGGACTTCCTTAATCGTTCTTTGGCGTCTCACACATATCCACACAACTTCACATAAGCACACATTTCTTTCTTCTTCTTTTTTCTGGACAAAATAA